GGATTTGAAGCAAAACTGAGGCTGGACTTAGCATGTGGCTTGAACCCCTCAGCAGTGCTGTGGGGTCAGCAGGATGAGGACTTTGTACCCAGAGAAATTCCCAGTGGCATGTAACTCTGGAAACTGGAAGAGCTTTGGGAACAATAGGCTTTTGTCCCTTGCCTGCCGAGAAGCCCAGCCAAGTTTGTCAGGAGAGCAGAGACTAACATGAGTAGAAAGAAACTGGATTCATCAAAGTGCCATAATAATTACCTTTCAAATTAGGCTAAATAAGGAAATCGCTGTTCTGAAAACGTGATCAAAGCACTTGCAAACGTTATTAGGATGCTCTCAACGTCCTTTTCATATCCTTCTAGCATGGGGTGTGGCACAGTATTACTTTTCAACTGTAAAGGACCCAGGTTTGAATGGACTGTGTGGAAGGGGATAGAATTTCAGCGTAGTTTGTTACACTGATAACCTCTCTCAATTCTCATTGCCTGAAATCAGCAACATCAGCATTTGGAAAACATGCTTTAATGCTCAACTATTGTTTGGGTTCACCCTTTAGCATGGCTAGGGCACAATACTTGTAAATAGAAAGGAATTAATCTCTTTCTTTGGCTAAGCTATTAATCTGCATTTATCTGATGACTGGATGACTTACCTTCTTGTTCCTCAGTTTCAAAATCATCCATTTCTGCTTGATCCGATTCCTCTAACTGAAGAGAGATGTGAGGCAAAAATTGTTCTTCAACAACAGGTTGGTCAGTCAGCTCTTTCTGTGCAGCTGGTTGGCCAGCATCTTCTGTCAGACCAGCCAGCTGCGGGGCTGTGTCTGTTGACCTGGGCTCTTCAGCAGCTCCCTCTGCCTGATCAGACAGTTGTTTATGGCTAAAGGCATCTAAGCGTTTTCCAACCACTGTACGAATCAAGGCTGAAACAGAGAAAGTCATCATTAACAAACATGAAGAAAAAGTTGTAATTTAAAAAGATGTTATGTATTATTATTTTTCAAACAAGAAAACAAACTGAAATAACACTAAAAATGAAAGAATACTTGAGGAGCAAAACATTTCCTGTAGGCTGTAGCCTATAGTTTCAACCAAATGAGCTCTTTGACCTGAAAGGAGGGATTCAAACGGGTTCACTTGGACTGTTTGGTTCTTCTCCTTTCCCAGTTCTTTGGTCATTGCTTGAGTGAGTCACCCTGCCAGGAACAAGGACTAGCCAGTCTGCACATGGCGTGACATTTATGGCAGTGGGAAATACTGGAACTACAGGCATCATCAAAAGATTCTGCCATTCTGAAAAGCAGTTGTAAAGCAGCTGTTCTTTATTTTTGCTGTTTATCCTTTGTAACTTTTTTTACATGTTATACCACTTGCGTATCACTGAACAAAGCAATAATTCAACTATCACTTTGAAATACATCAATTAAATATTACATATGACACAAAGGCCACGAATGAATGAAGAAAGGTTTAATATAGAAAATGGGACAATGCAGAGGTGCTAAAAAAGCTTCATTGTTAATTCACAGGTTGAGTTTTGTATGTAAAAGAAGAAACGGTCATCTGTGGGAGGAAAAACATAGCCTCCTTAGACTGTGAAGCTTTCACTTTTCACCAGTTCACAGCTCTTTTGGATAGTGACAAAATAAATCCCTTAACATTCTACATTCAAATACCTTCTGCATTCAAAAAGGTTAAAAATGGATCCTCCAAGACTTTTTCTATGCTTTTGCGTAAGGAGAGAAGAAACTACAAACAAGTTCAGCTAAGGCAGCATCTGCCTCTATAAAACCTATGGAAGAATGCAATTTGCAGTTCCTGTTGCTGAGATGGTGTTTAATCAACAGTGGGGGAGTGGGAATAAGCCTACAGGAAACATGGAGGGTGAATTGCAGAACAGGGCCATCTAGTGTTATTTGTTAGCATGCTCCTCCAGTTGCTCTGTGCATCTTGGAAGTGGTGCAAGGCCGGGGTATCTGGTTGTAAAAATTAAAAGAAAAGATTTAAAAGGAATACTATGTATGTTCTCATCAATATTCAGTAGTTGGATACAACAGTTTTTAAGGAAAAGAGAGAGAATCCCCCTGTCTCTCTCCCTGCCTCCCCAGAAGAAATACATTCAGAAGTTATCCGGGAGTGTACATACCAGCACATATATCAGGGCACAGAATACCTAACAGACCAGTTATAATTATCCAAATTATAAATCAATTCAGGAAATTCATCGTCATGGTTAAACTGAAAATAAACCCTAAGCTAATGAACACACAAGTACAATTTTAATTCTAGTTGTAACCCAAAAATCACAACAGGAGGAAAAGCAGAGGAATGAAGATGTAATGCAAGTGTAAGAAGTGTTTTCATCTAGGGCCACCAAGGTGGACATGCATTTTGTGGTTTCTATACTAGATAGATATCAGACTGTTTGGGTGGATCAGTTGCAGCTCTGAAAGACTCACTAATAAAAGAACCCAAATGCTTCTCTTGAATTGGCCCGCAAGAAAGCAGACTGATGTTTTAATCTCTTTCAAAAGCAAGGTCATGATTATTGACCACTGAGGAGGTAAGCCCTTACTGAGGAAAAGCATCGCTCACCTCATTGTTCAGCCAAACATGGCTGCTTCTCCTTTCCTTGGGGAGGAACATATTACTCTGTAGCTCAGGTAGCTTACAGCAATGAGTTAAAAGATTTTTATGGTATACAAGTGGCTGTAGATAGTATCAACTTTTGTATTCCCACAACATGGGCACAGGCACAACTGGGAACACTAAGGAAAAGAGCACCGCAGCGTTGGCTACATAACGAGAGGAATAAAAGTTACTAGAGTCGGGAAAACAATTTGCATTCTGTAACCATTTTACTTCTGCCACATGTGTTGCCTCCTCCACCAACAATACATTTCAGAAACAATATACTACCAGTTGGAAGAGACCAGTGCAATATGCCTGACATTTCTACTATTTCAGCTGAGAATCCATTACCTAAGTATATGTAGTGGTGATTTATCAGTATTAAAAACATTTTTAAAAAAGGTAAAACCACAAAAAGCTGTGGGCACCTGAAGTTCTTGTTAAAATGACACCTGCTGCCTTAGCCCACAGTGACTTTGTAAATGTTACAGTTGTTCTGACCAGGGAGAAACAATTACGAATATCAAGGAGCTCAGATTATATTCCAGGATTTTGTAACTTACAGTCAAGCACTGTCCTCCCCAGAACCTTCTTCTGCAATGCTTCTTCCACTTCTGTCATCAACCAGGGAAGGAATTCTGTCTCAATATCTGTAAGAATTTGACAGGAAGAGGATTTTTTTTTTGTACTAAGGATGAACGAGAGGTTCTTGGGAGCTGTTTTTCATTTGCTGCAATCATTAAGGGATGAACATCATTGCTAGAAGGTGCTCGCTTTGTAAGAGCCAGATGAAATCTGTCAGAAGACATTGGATGTCTTAACTTCTCTCTCTTTTATTTAGGTTCCTTGCCTTTATGGGTTTGGGCCACAGTCCTCTCAGCTTCAGTGGTTTTCAGGAGGGTTTGCCATCCTCAAAGGGCAGGCACAAGCGAGATGCACAGTGATGTTCCATTTGGGTGAAAATAGCTATTCTGAGCAATTGAGGAGAATAACATTTCTCCCTTTTCTTTCCAATGACATCTGGCCTCTGGCCTGCCAAATCTGTTTGGTCCCCTCTGACTAAAGAGTTCTTGCTTACCCATGTTTTCTCAAATCATTCTCTTTGTACATAATGATCCTAAATTATGCTCCATTTGCAAGATATGCCCAGTTTCTGCATTTGCCCCCATGACTCCTGTAGGAGGGAGCAGCTGTTTTCTGGCTATGGTCTGGGCATTAATGTGGGGCCCTAGGAAGTGGTGTGCAGACCCATATTAACCACGGGGATTTATGAACTTGCCAGTCAAATGTTTGATGACATAGCGGCAAGGTAACCCATGATAAATGGTGTTGATCTAAAAGCTTGGAAATCACTGATGTGAAAACTCAGAAATTATTTTCAGGGCCTAATTTTAATTCTAACTGACTAACTTTTCCCTTGCTTTGATAATCATTAATGAAGATTCAAAATAACACACAAGAAAGTGACTTCTTTGCCTGTCCTATCAGAATATATTTACTACAATTTGGATCTCCTTCTCTATGTTCTACCAATCCTAACTATCCATATATTTCACAACAATTCAGAAGCCTCATGACAGGTGAAACTGTCAGCTCTCACTTACTCGTACAGATGACCAATGTTTGCTCTTAAAAACAATCTGAGTTTGAAAACAATCTGTTCAGCCACAAGTGTAAATGATTAAATAAATGAAGTCTATTACATTGTACTAAATTATAGAATTGTAAGCTGTGTTTTGTGGTTGTTTTGGCTTTATATTATTCAGTTCACATATTAAAAAAAAAATACAAACCTCTTTCTATAGGGTCATAGAAATACCCACTCTCACGAAGATTGCTGAAGACTGATGGAATGAGATCAGCCAAGTAACGCTGAGCAAATGCCCGAGCTGCAATTTTCTCTGTGGTCTCTTTCTGTTTCTGCAGCACTTGCATCTGCTGGCGTTTGCGACGTTCCTGACAAGAGAATATTGTGTGTAAAACTTTCAGGTCTTTAGTTGTTACTCCCTTGATCTGGATCTTGAAGAATGATCACAACATAAAACCCATAAAGTAAAGATATAATAGGTAATAAATATAGGTACCACACAGTATTTATGGCCTCCACCCAGTATTTGTGGCCTCTACTTTGGCAGAAAACTCTTCATATGAAAGAACATTTGAAAGCAGGCTTGTATTCAATCTATGGATTGCCAAAATTCACAGCGACTAGAGGGAAACACATTTCTTCAGTATTACTTTCCTGGTTTGGTAAGTCAGTAAAGTAATGGTTTTGCAACTAGCCAACAAAACCCTTCTCTGCTCTCTTACCATGCACTGATCTCATGACACATTGCTTTGTTATTCCAGATAAAGCTAATGGTTAGCTTTGGACTGAGGTGAGGTTGGTTCAGGATTTCCTGAACTTTCCACCATTCTAGCTTTATATCCTACTCGGTGTAAGAAAAGATTAAAACTGAGTTTGGTGCACGAAAACATTAAAACCCAAATATATAAGTCTGATGGGATAGCAAATAATAAAGACTTGCCCTTTCTGTTTACTATTCACTGGGTCCAACTCATACAGTTCCTCGCTTACTTGAAGATCTTGAGAGCTATGTGCGCGTATTCGGTACTGCATGCACTAAAGGCTAGGGAGGCGCCTTTCTTATTTTTGAGCACTGTGACTATTCATTTAACAGCTATCGTTAATGAAAATGGCTAAACTAGTTGCTTAACTGACAGCGGCACTGGGTGCAGAAGGAAACTGCTTTCAGGTTTGGCCTCTTGAGCCCATGTCCCTGGAGCATACCTGCTCCAAAGAGACAGAACAGCGTCATGCTGCTGCAGGAGAGCTACCTGCAGCGGGCAGCCAGATGGCACCAGATTGCTTTGAGGTGTGTCCAACCTGACAGTGCCACCTAGGGCAAATTCAACTTATTCCACAGCTTGGCTTTCACTCCTGGAAATGGTTTTCTCTCTTCCCATGAGCATTCAGATAGGCCCATTTTGCTCTTAGTCGCTCCTACCTTTTCCTCTCTGTATCGCCTCTCCTGCTCTTCCAGGCGCTGTACCTCAGCCAGCTCTGCATTACGCAGTTCTCCATACGCACGCTGATGTGCCCATAGGTTGGCCAGCTCTTCTTCCTCCATGACTTCCAGCAAAGCTTGCTCAATAGTCTTTCCAATCAACACTTCCAGCATTGGCTTGACTTCCACGTCAAAGTCAAACAGCTGAGGATGGCAGTCAGGGAAACAGAGACAAATGGTCCTTGATCACAATCACTCGTAATATCATAGCAGGAAAGGCGGATGAGCAAAGCGCTTGTGCTCAAGGCAGTGCTGAGATGTGCAGGTAGGGGCACCTTGACAGCTCTGGCAGGAAGCACAAACACAGCCGGGGACTAAATGACGAGTGGGCCGGCATGAGACTGGGCCTGTCGCATGGACCTGGCAACACCACAGCCCTCCTCATAGCCACTTTGGGGGCTGCCAGGGAGAGGCAGAGTGCTCCCCTGGACCCTATTTCTGCTCACCTCCCTGTTCCCACCTCTCTCGGGCCTGGATGCTATTTCTACAGAGGAGAACATTTCTCAGCATGCTAGTTCTTAGCTGAAAGCAGCAGAACAGTAAGCACCTTCCCTAACTTTGCAGTTAACCTGCAGCAGATAATGGAGACATTTTTTAAAAAAATATGCTCTGTCAGTAGAAATTCCTGTACTGGCTGCCCCAATTCTGCATAGGAAACTTGTTTCATAGGGGAAACATCTTCTGACTCTTCTTGTGGCTGGGATTTTGCCTCATACCTCTCCTTCTTCTATTTGCGTGGCCACATCTCTTCCTGTTTTGGCTGGTATGAAGAGGGGAGTGGGTGGTCTGTCCAGAAATGCATCTGTTTGACACTCCATGTCAACTTCTACTATCCGGTCACTAATCTCTTCCAAATATAGCTCTAGTAAGCAAAATCATGACAAATGCTGTAAGTTTGATTCTGTTTAGTTTAACTCACAACTATTCCTGAGGACTGTATAAGGTATACAAAAGAGTCAAGAGTGTACAGTAAAAAGACTTCTACAAAGTAAAAAAATAAAAACTAACTTAAAACATGCATCCGTCTTCCTTATAGGCCCTGTGATGCCATGTTCTCTGTAATGTCTGCTGTACCTCTTGGAAATGGCTCCTGAAAGGACATCTCACTCATGTTTCAAAAGTCTGAGCCTAGACCATTATGGTCCACCTTGCAGAATAAACAGTTTGTGGTAAAAGTCAGCTGGGATAAGATAAGTGCAAAAATGGACACTGATTGTATTTCTATTAGCCAGCTACATTGCAAACATGTATTTTCTGTTGTATGTGGCAAAAGAGTGGCCTTGAGTTAACCACACATCTGCAGTGGCATGTGCTTGATTTGAATAGTACCTGTGTCTGTCTCCTGCTGTAGGGATAGATAGCCTGGCTCAGAAAATAAGGGCTATGGAGTGTATAAGATTACCAGCATTAGTCAGTGGGAAGAGACCAGAACCAGAGACCAGAAGAGTAAGAGACCAGAACTTCCACGCTAGGCAACCTTCTTCTGTGTCCAATGGTATTTCAATGGTAAAGGTAGGAAGTGAGGAAGAAGCTGTGCCACAATAGTTTTCCCAGTTTTTAAGTCAGTCCAATCTGAACTGATTTTCAGAGGGGCATAGCACAACATTACAATCACCTCATGATTACCTCACTGCCAAATTTCTTCCTTTTCCTACAAATACATGAGGGTTAGTTTCCTTTTCTAAATTAGTGGTGGGTTTTTTTTTTTTTTTGTAATTTGTTAGTAGCAGTCTTATTCTTAAACATGACTGCATCCTTAGGCAAAAATTACAACAAAAAAAAACTTAATTTAAGGTATACACCAAACAGCTCTGATGATATAGGTAAAGGAAAGAGTAAATAAAGAAGTCTTAGCATGTGTTCAAAAATGTACACTTAAAACTGAAAAAAAAAACACTCTGGAAAAATCTCACTCTAATTAGCAAAGTTTATTGATATTAAAGGAAATTAACAATAAAAGATTATAAGTAAAAGGATAAGAGAACCTTAACTCTAGGTGATGCTACCAACTGCATCATGAATTTAGTAGGTGAATATGGATCAGCACATTTTTGCTTTCAGATGAAAATTAAACCTCTTCAGCCTTTACCTGTCTGCACATGAACATGCTCTCTGCCTTCCACAGGTTCAGGGGTTCTTGGCTGCATCTGCTCTTTTGCTCGTTTTCTGAACAGTGCTCTTCTCCGTGCTTCTCTCTGCCTTTGAATTTCAAGAGGATCTGGTTGGGTACTCTGGGCAGGGAATGGAGTGGGGAGTGAATACACTTCACATGTAGAAATGTTACCAATTTCTCTTACAGGTAAATGTAAGACTGTTTTTTTTCTAATCCTACAAATCTGCTATTTCAGAATTACTTTTCAGGGTCCTGAGTATAAAATGTCACTTACCTGGAGGACTATAGGGCATGAAACTAACATAGTACACTGCCTGCAGGCATATAATAACAGGATTTCACACTAAAAGCAATCACTTGCTATTCGGAAATAGATGTTACATACAGAACTCTATTTGCAAGATAAAGTATGTTAAAATGGCATGTTCTTGCTCACATATGAGTTGAGTTTTTCAAGGTGAAGTTTTTAAAATGTCAAATGGACTTAAGTCCAATTTTCATATTATCAACTAAATTGTCTGCAAGACCAAAATTTACAGAATCTTTCTTGCTGATGAAGGATTAAGCAAAAGATACCCAGACTAACTTTTAAATTCCATTCTGTGTTTGTGGATTGAAAGGAAAATCACTTTTAAACTTTTTAAACAGAAAAAATGTCAAATTCACAGTAAGAAACAGCTACAGAACACAATGGCATTCCCACAACATTGCTTTTTATAATACAGAACTGTTTTCAATTCTTATATGATCAATTTATCTGTCAAGAAACATTCTCTGAAAATAAATATCACTAAAACATTTTCTGTGCCATGAGAAATAAAATGCCTTTGCCTCACACAAGCAGCTTTTGCATACAGCTGGCCCTATGATCTATAGGTCTCTGCTTCTTCAGTAGGCCAAGCGCAACTTTAGCCAAAAACTTAATTTCCCCGAGAGCTGACATCCTCACTGATGACATCTGTGAGTAAACATGGCAGCAAATGATGCAGTGATGACCTGAGCTCAGTAAAGAAATGGAAAAAAAATTAATCACTTGAAGAGAGAAGAAGAGAGAAAAAAAATCCCAAAACTAGTAAAGGTCATGGGGAAGCTAGTCCTTTAAACACAAGCGGGGAACAACTGCGTGATAATTTAAGTGGAGAGCCTGTGACTGGGTGAAATATTTTTCACAAACTCATAGCATCAATAGTTAAAGCTATTAACCGGCAATAGCTTTCCTGCCCAACTTCTTACTTTTCCAGGAGGCTGTAGTACCATCCACATAAGAAAACATACCGCAGGTAAGACCTGAAGGGCGTAAGTGTTGCCGCGCACCACTCTCCTGTCATACATGAGGTTTGCGTAACGAACAGGCTCCTTCTCCCTGCAACATCAAGAACCGACAGCTGGCGGTTACAGACCCGCAGCCTAAACATTAACATCTCGGCGAACGACAGACAACGCGGCTGAAGGGGCACCGGAGCGGGGGCCCGGCGGCGGGGCAGAGCAGGACGACCCGGCTGCCTCATCGCCCCG